TTATTAATATATTATTGTTATTGAATTTTTAGTTATATGTATATAATATTTTATGTTTTTGTAAAAATTGTCGCTTCACATGAAAAAGGCGAGTGCTTCGCTATGCGCCTCACTTCACTGAAGCGGGCCCTCGTCGCTATTTGTCGCCGTACGCTATCCAAAACACTGGTTCAAGAAAAATAAATGTGAATTGGATATGCACACTAAAGTTGAAATCTATTATATTCTATTTTTTGGTAATTCAGCTTAATTTCGAAGTTCATCCTCAGGCGACTGAACATTACACTATTTCCCCCATTAATAGCAGAAAAACTCAATCCTGCATGGTCTAGCACTGACAATTCGGGATTTGCATTCAAAAGGCAGATTCAGAGTAAAAAAAAAAGCTAGCTTATGACTTAACTCTAGTGAAGGCATCGTTCGTAGTCTCCAATGATCTTGCTTCACATTCCAAGATAAATTCACCCTTAAAAAGAGTCATACATAACTTATCTCTATTAGAGACATTATTATTAGTGCAGCATGCTGACTATTGAAGTCTCACAACCTAACCAACAAACACACTCACTAAGGCAATCCATCCACAATATACTTCGCAGACGTCTTATTTCCCCAACAAACCTTTGATCATGCTCAGAAATAGTCTCAAAAGCAGGTCAGACACTTGGGTAATACATGCACACAACACATCTAATAAACCTGCATACAGTCTAAAAGAAAATATCTTTTTGATGGAGATATGAGATGCAAAGAGGATATATTTTACTGAGAAGCAACAGATGAGGAAATTCTGGCAAAAGGTGCGAAGTTATTTTCAATTATCCAGCATCCATGTCAACATCGTGTTGTCAGGTGTCTGTAAGTGGGTCCATCACACATATTCCTTCAGAACATTAATGTGCTTAAACCCAATTCAACCCCTCTCCTCCCCCTCCCAAACACCAAAACAAAACGAAGGGTAAAAAAGGAACTAGGACTTTTTTATTGTCACGTCACCACCCCAAACGCAGATTAAACTACTTACCAGAAAGCTGTCCTCTTCTCCCAGAAGCTCTCAAATCATTTACCAAAGTAACAAGTTTTGAAACTTCTGAACTGCTTAGCAGTTCCTCGTACAGTTTCATGCCATCAACAACATTAACCTACAGAAGACACCGCTGCATCTTAGTGTAAGAACAAAGAGATTTTAGTCTTGCACTTAAGTTTTTTATTTATATGTAGGATTTCAAATTGCACCAAGAAGGTGCTAATATGTACAGTAAAAAGACTTCTGATTCCCTTTTATGCAGGGAGTCCAACAGGTCAACAAAAGTATTACATGATAGGCAGTATTCAAATTACATCAAGAATACAAAAACTGTAATGTCCTAAACTTCACAAGATGTGTTGATGTATATTTGTTCTCAAATTCAAAAAGAAGGAGCTATAAATTTTATCATTACCGGTTTCCCATCGCATATCTCTGTAGCAACAAAAGTTTTTGGTACAATTGTAACATTCTGCTTCTCGTTTGGTACTTGGCTGGATCGGGATTCATTCTCCACATTCCAAGACCCTTAAAAGGTAAACATGCAAATGATATTGATTGAGGATTGTAGTTAGCTAAGATAAACAAGTAAAACGTAAACAAGACCATATTACAATCAATGTCCACAAACATAAACAGCACAGGTAGAAAACATAATTCCCTTAATAGAAGTAGTTGATATGGCTGATCGGGTTGATAAGGAGGGGGAGGGGGTTTGATAAGGAGGGGGGTGGATATGTTATATGGCTTATTAGTGAATTATAAAGCACGATGCACTCCTTAAAAATGCAGCTCGAACAAACAATCGAAATCTAAGAAGATCTCAATCAGAAAAATAAACTGCGTACCATCAGACTTTGAATCACGTTTATGATCAGTTTTGTCTATTTCACTTTGTGAGTCAGCAGCTTCTATGCAAACTGAACTCTTCATTGAGCTATTTCCTTCTGGATTTCCAAACAATTCTGTTTCATCGTAAATGAAAAAGAGAAAAAATTGTTTTCTTAGCTTAAGATGCATAAGAGAAGCTACAATAAACATTTACGCGTTTGCAATTAAAACGATGAACAAATTTTAGTTCATATGGATGTACTTTACTCTGGTTCACCCATTGGTTTGCGACGATGTGATAATAAGGAAGTTATACAATGTACAAAAACAAAAAGATAAGTAAGCCTTGCATCAAGTTAAAGGGATAAATTCCTTTCAAGTTCAGAATAATAACCATTACATGATCAAATGATTTCCTCAAAAAAATCTGATTAAGCTTGATCATGAGGTACCAATGGCCAGTTGAAGCATGTAGCTTTGGAAACAATTAAAAGATAGAATATGAGTCTAGGATATGCCAAAATTATTTTGCTAATTTTGAAGTGCATTCAATCATATGAAGCTAACTAAAGGCATTCATTATCCTTGCTTCAATCAAGATTCTGTCATCCTAACTATCTTGACAGAATAATCTGCAAGGCCCGAATTATATCGATACCACAAGATACAAGCTCCAAGACTCTTCCCAGTGTCCAATTGCCTTATGGATGATAAAACTATAAAGTATCTCAGCAAAAGAAGCAATCCCCCCACCCCCTAGGCTATGCACAGAGAAGAGGGATCACCGGACCCCGCTAAACTCGGCAAAATTCTAGATATATATGTGCATATATGTTGAACACGTTTATATATTTTGCTGATGGAGCACTAGTTGGGCAGTCAGCTCATGTGCCCCGCCACATTCAAATCCTGGGTCCACCTCTGCCCCACCCCCTCACACTGACAATAAAATATCCTAGCATTAGAACTTCTTCGATTCACACTCAATAGCTTGAACACATAACTGCAAGCACTGTTGCAGTTTAACCTTGAGATGTCCGCAATACCCTTGCAACCATCAGTTAAACTTGTTAACTCGCATAGCAATAAATGCATATTCTGCTCCGAAATATTTTGAAACACCTAGTAAAAACTAAAAGATTAAGGAGCAGTCCCAGCTTGAAAAGGGTGGACCAGATATTTTTCAAACCAGGACACAAATGAAATGAGAAAAACTCACCTCGTCATGGGCAGTTATCGTGTTGTCAGTCTCACAAAATATTCGAATTCACAGATGATTTCACTTATTCTAAAGTGGAAATTATGGTTTTTAACAAGTAGCACTCAATCTGCCTTTCCATTATTTAATGTAATCCCTTACTAAATAGGTAATAGCAAATTACATTACACTCTTATTAAGGGAAACTAACAAATATCATTATCATTAAATGGTGATAAATCCAAATCTCCACAACTCACGAATGCCAATTTGCTAAATTATTAATAATCACCTTATCTTGTCTCTTAACCAGTAAATAGAAAAGTAAGCAAAGATTCTGAAATTTAACACTTTCCTAATAGCTGATCTATTTCAATTTAGTAATCACTAAAGACCCTATAGAATCACATATTCCTTCAATCAATAAATTCCAACGAACACTCCTTTAATCAGAACACAAATATAAAAAGGTTTAAGTTATGTGCATTGGCGCTGTAAAAAATAATTGCAAGCAACTTATTTACTAAGCATTCATTGGTAACCTACCTTATTGGATTTTTAGCTGCTACCTAGTACCTTATTGTGTCGGTGGTGCAAGATCTAGAATTCAAGAAACGCCAATCTGGGTTTCTTAAATCTGGGTTTGTAATTTCAAGAAACGCCTACCAACTCTGCATCTTTTGCAACCTTTTAGCTCTCATTTGCTACAGGAGGGGCCTCCCAGTGGTAGCGGTGACAACCCCCGGCTTTGTTTGTCTTCCTTGTGTTGTGTGTGTATTTCAGGTTAGGGACTCTTGGTGAGCGAGACGCGCGGGTGCAAACAAAAGGAACAACCCCGACAAGGGTCAGCAGGAGTTGGATGCGAACGTGCTAAGTGGACGCAACTTCGACATATATTCCAAGACAACTCCCAGGTTCTACTGGCGGGACTTGGTACCTCCCGTTTTTCATTGTCCCCTTCATTGTGTTAGTTAAGTTGTTGTAGTCATAGTTCATATTAGTGTATCCATTGTATTAGTGAGCTAATTAGTTGTAGCCTGTCTTTGCCTATCTTGGTCCATTGCTTTGGGTGTGTTATTGATTCCCCTTAGTCTGTCATAGGTATAGTGGCTGTGGTCTGGGATGGTCGAGTGAGGTCATGTCCTCGGGGGGTAGGG